TTCTCAATATATAGCTATACTGTTTATGTTAGGAAAATAGTTGTAAAATACTTTTCTGTGGATAAACCATCAACAAATTGTAGTTACTGAGTAGGGCAAGTTCTCTTTCTGTTACCATGAACATTTTGAGGATAACATGAAGCAGTAACATAACCATTGAGTCTGCAAGGAAACATGCCACAGGAAGATCGGTGACAAAACTGAACATGTTTCATTCCTTCGATGCTCCAGTATGGCCATGGTGCATGGTCCCTCTGCTGGGTATCCTTTTGTCTGCTGGGGACAGGAAAGACTTAAGCTTAAAGAAAACTTTCTGGTCCTGAAGTTGCTAGTCCCAGAATCAACTTTATCTTTGTCAATATCCATACTAGGCTGTGTTCCACCTCTTATTTCTTTCTCTTGCAGACTCTTTCGGTGCCAGTGTTGTCCAGACTCCAACAAGTCTGGTCCAAGAGAAAGGAGAAAAAAGCAAAGATGAGCTACAAAGTTCTGCAAAGGAGCACACTGCTGTTTATTGGTACCAACAAAGGCGGAACAAAGAGCTAAGTTTCTTGGTTTACTTTGAGAGTCAACAAGTTATTGAACAAATAGACTTGGTCAAAGAATGATTCTCAAACTTACCCAGCCCTCAAACTCACCCAGCCCCCTGGAAATCAAACCCTCTGAGGCAGAAGACTCAGTACTATACCTCTGCACCAGCAGTCAGTCCACAGTGCACTCCCTCCAGTTCACAAACCCACCACGCAGGAAGCCACCTTAAGGAGCAGGTGACACACTGGGAAGGAAGTGCCGGAAATTACCTGGAGCCAGTGCAAGTCCCAGCCAGGGCTAGAGGGTGGTGAGAAGTGAAGGGATGGCATCTGTGAGTGAAGCGTGGGAGGCTACTCTTCACATCACACGTTTCTCTTTTGTCTGTCTCTTGACCACCCCCTCCACTATCTTTCTTTTGTATCCAGTTTTTATGGTAGGAACTAAATGGTCACCAAAGACCATACATCACCATGGTGTCATTCTACCATGGAGATAAGCGTCAGTATGGATCCATCTGAGCTAGAGTTTAAAAATCTCAAGGAAAAAAAAAAAGTGATATGTGCCAACTCAGCAATGGGTTTGTCAAGGGACACCCAATTCTGGCCACATGTCAAAGTATTTTTTTTTTTTGAGACAGGGTTTCTCTGTGTAGCTTTGTGCCTTTCCTGGAACTCACTTGGTAGCCCAGGCTGGCCTCGAACTCACAGAGATCTGCCTGGCTCTGCCTCCCGAGTACTTGGATTAAAGGCGTGTGCCACCATCGCCCGGCAAAAATGTGTAGCCCAGGCTGGCCTCGAACTTGTGATCCTCCTGCCTCTGCCTCCTTCAGCAAATCCTACCGGCGTGCGCCGCCACCACCACCACCACCGGCGTCAAAGTATTTTAAAGTCGGATAATTGTTACTCTATCAGTGATTCAAATCTGCCACTTACATTTCATTCACCCCTGAGCTCAAAGTAAGTGGAACATTGTATTTTGTGTGTGTTTATCTAGTCCTTCCCTTCTAAATATTTCACATCATTATATTCTCTAATGTAACAATTTCAGCTTTGTGCCAACATTTAAAAACTTTGTGTAGACCTTGCCATACAGTGCTTCATATACTTTCACAACCATCTATAGTCCTGTATATCAACTCAGAATCATGATTTTTAAGAGATAGAGGATGTGTATTTATGTTATTTTATGTATTTTCCTAATCACTGGAGGGAGGGTCTTCTAAACTTCTAAAATTCCACTTGAGATTGTGTTAGACTTTCTCATTTTCCTTCCTATTTCATGGAATTATCCTGTGATCGAGACTGAGAGAGTCTAGCAATGTCAGTAAACCATTCCATTCCAGACGCTCACTTTCTCTAAAGAGTCATTTGACTATAAAATGCAGATGAGAACTTAAGAAATAGTAAGTAAAATCAGATATGTAGTGGTAAAAGTAGCTTGTTAAGAGTTAGGATGATAAGGATGGAAGATGAGAAATTTGAGTCCAACCTAGGCTAAATAGAAAATCACATAGACACAGACACACAGATACACACACACACACACACACACACACACACACACACACACACACACACACACACACGAGAGAAAGAGAGAGAGAGAGAGAGAGAGAGAGAGAGAGAGAGAGAGAGAGAAAGAGAATATGACCAAGTGACTGATGATTATATTGTTAAGCAATATTATGAAATTTTTATTTTGTTATTTGCTTTATAGCTTTTTACAATTTGGATTTTTATGATGTCAGTTTAAAATACGTATATTATCACCCAATCTATTTGATGACTATCCTATTGACAGTATGAAGTAGTTCAGTAAATAACGAGACAATTATGAGTCGGCAAAGGGATCGTGTCACTGGGAGGCTGCTGCTGAGGAGAGAAAACACCTCACTGTTTTCCTAACTGTATGCTGCCATGGGTGGAAGACTGCTGTACATGCACCAGTCTATCTCCTGAAGGCAGGTAGGTCCTGAACACAGAAGGACAACCCTTGTCTGGAGACTGCCAACCGTAGAGCCAAGCCTTTTTTTGTCAGGATCCCTCCTGTGTTCACCACCTCTGTTTCCCTTTCCAGGTTCACTTGATGCAGACGTTCCTCAGACCCCAAGACATTTGGTCTAAGGGACAAGACAGAAAGAAAGATGAGCTGTAATCCTGAAAAAGGACACACTTTTGTTTGCTGGTATCAACAGAAAGAACACAGAGTTAAATATGTTAATCAGTTTTCAGAGTCAACAAGTTTTGGAACAAATAGACTGGGTCAAGGAGGGAGTCTCCAGTGTCCCTCAAACTCCCTCTGCAGACTGGAAATTCAGTCCTCAGGAGCAGGAGACTAGGCACTGCACCTCCGAGCCAGCAGCCTGTCTACAGAGCTAAAATGTGCATTTTCCTCAGTGCACAAACCAGTCCCAGACTCACCAGGAAGTAGGTGATAATGTGAGTTGGAAATGAATAACTGCAGCCAGTGTGAGCTATCGCCTGCTTCACAAAAAGCCAGAGTATGTTCAGAAGTCAAGGACTGACAGACTAATAGCTTGAAAACAGTCGGTGTGGGATGGCTGCTTTTCACACCACATTTTATTTTTCTTCTTTTGTCTGCAATGTGCTCTTCTCTGTGCCCAGCATCTCTCTTCTTTCCTACAGTACTCACAGCAGGGATACGACAGTGGCTAAAGATTACAGATTCTGTTGGTATCATTTCACCAGCCTGATAAAGATCAGGCTGAGTCCTTCTCAGCCTGGATTTTAAATCCCTAAAGGCAGAGTCAATGTGTAATGATCTCATGGTGGACTTCTCAGGGAATATCCAACTCTGGTCACATTTGTATGTGTTTAAAGCTACAAAGAAGTTATTTGACTATGGATGCAACTCTCCCACGTAGATTTCCCCCTTAGATGCAAGGTGAGGGAAGCACTCCACGTTTCTCTGTGTGCACTCCTGTCCTGGTGCCTGGTTTTCCATATCCATTTCTTCCAGAAATGAAACCAATCAATCTCCTGCCAACAGTAAAAACAGCTGTGCCAAAAATTTAATACAGTTCACCATGTGCCTTTATAATCACTCCATATTATTACATTCCCAGAATTCTGGCTATTGAGACATAGTGTGCTATTGATACTTTTTTTTTGGTCTTATGTATTTCTCCATGTATCACTAGATGTCTATTCAATATTACTGGCAGTGTTGAGTTACTATAATGCTTATCACATTATAAGGAACTGAATTTAAAATCGAGAACCCACATTGAAAAAAAAAAAGCCAGACCCGGTGGTATACACTTACAGTCTCAGTGCTGGTGAGGTGAGGACAGGTGCACCTTGAGTACATGCTCTTTAGGCCTTTTAGCAGAATCAGTGATCTCCTGATATAAATGACACGCTGTCTCATTGCAACCTCCTTCCTCCTAAAAAAAAAAAAAACAAGGTACGAAATAGGTGTCGTGGTTTAGTATGTGAAGATGTTCCTTGCCACCAAGACTGAAAAAGTTACATTTCTGAAACCTTCATAGCAGGAGAAAAATGACGCTTGGAAGTTGGCCTCTGACTTTCTCACACATGCCATGGTGTATACATACCTCCAAGCCCAATACAAAATAAATATATAAATTCATGTAATTTAAAATCTTTTTTAAAAATAAGGTACAAGATTAAGAAAGATATTTGATATTGCCCTCTACTCTGCACATGCATGCATACTCACACGCATATGTACACATGAACACATACAAACATATATATGCATACACACACACACACAAACACACATACATATATATATATAGTTACTGGGTATAGCAGACTTCCTCCCTTATCCTTATAATTTTCCTTGACTTTATCCTGCAATCTAGATTGAGCCAGTTTAGGAAAGGCCATATATTAAGAGGTAACAATGTTTTGCTTTCTCCCAAGGCACCATTGGTTTTCAGATGATAACTTAAGAAATAATAAGTATGATAAAATTTGTGATCGGAAAAGTGATTTGGAAGCACAAACATTGAGATGAAAAAGAAGAACCTGGTTACCATCACACAATCCTGCAATTCCAACAATTGGGGTGTCAAGGACTGGGGAGGAGAACAGCAAGCTTGGTTTGTATTTTGATGTTTTTATTGTGTTATATTTATAAATAATATTTATAAATATAGGATGTTGTTTATGCTATTAGAAATAGTTACAAAACACTTTGGAAGTACTGTGGGTAGAACCTAGGGCCTCATACGCTTAAGGTAAGCACTTTACCACTGAAATATATACAGCCTTAGCTCTATCAAATAAATTTAAACACAAAAAATATCACGCAGCCTGTTTGCAGTCTTAGGGTAAAAGATTTCCTAATGTACCATAAATGGCACTGGGAAGTAACATGAATTAGGAACATGACAACTATGAGTCTCCAGGAGTCACGTCACAGGAAGGCTGCCTCTGAAGGATGAGCATACTTCATCCTTTTCCTGCCTTTCAGCCACCATGGCTACAAGGCTCCTCTGCTACACAGCCCTTTGTCTCCTGGGAACAGGTAAGTTCTGAGCACAAAAGGACAATCCTTGTCTTGAGATTGTCAACCCATACCCAAGTATTTTTCCTTGTCAAAGTCATTTCTTGGCTGTGTTCACAACTTTGGTTTCCTTCTCTTCTAGGTTCCTTTAATGCCAAAGTCATCCAGACGCCAAGATTCCTGGTCAAAGAGAAAGAGCGGAAAGCAAAGATGAGCTGTTACCCTGAAAAGGGGCATGCTGTTGTTTTCTGGTATCAACAGAATAAGAACAATGCGTTTACATTTTTGATTAGCTTTCAGAATCAAGAGGTTCTTCAACAAACAGATATGGTCAAGAAACGATTCTTAGCTGAGTGTCCTTCAAACTCACCCTGCAGCCTGGAAATCCAGTCCTCTGAGGCAGGAGACTCAGCACTGTACCTCTGTGCCAGCAGTCTGTCCACAGTGCTGAAATGTGCAATCCCCTCAGAGCACAAACCCCTCTTGGAGCCAACTCAGGAAGCAGGTGCTGCTCTGGGTTGGAAGGAAGTGACAGAAATGAACTGGAAACAGTGTCAATCACAGCAGATTTCATACTAAGTGGGCATTTCACAGTCTAGGAGTGGTAGGCTGACAGTTCTGAAATAGATCCCTTTGGTTCAGGTCAGGATGGCTGCCTTACACTTCTCCTTTTTCTTATCTTTTATCTGCTTTGTGATTTTCTTATCCTGCACAGTTTTCTCCTTCCATCCAGTATTCATGGCAAGGATAGTATTGTCACCAAATATCACACTTCCAGTTGGCACCATTCCACCGTGCAGATAATGAGAAGAAGTATGCTAGCAAAAACAGACTAGTCTTGTGTAAGAGAATAGAGGACTCAGACACAAAGTCACACAGCTATACCCACCCAATCTTTTAAAAAGGTTCCAAAAATACACTTTTGAAAAAAAGACAGCCTCTTTAAGAAACAATATTAGGAGAAGCGTCTCTGATGGCAATTGGGCTAGGCACCAATCCGGTCACAGGAGATAGCCAGGTCAGGCTACGGTTCTGCTATGGCTAGGAGTCTAAGCTGCGGTCTTCCTTGTAGATTCCTGGGAGATTCTCTTGTACCAGGTTCTTACCTGACCCCGAGATCTCCCACCCATTTCTAGTAGTCTCTTTCAGTACTCTCCTCCTCAGCCCTTCCCCAACCTGATCACTCAGGTTCCCGTCCTGACCTGCCCTCAGTCCACTTATGGAATCTCTTCAATTTCCCTTTCCCAGGGAGATCTGGGTGTCCCTCCCTCCCTATGAACTTTTCTTGTTATCTAGTCTCTCTGGGCCTGTGGACTGTAACATGGTTATCCTTTATTTTACAGCTAATATCCACTTGTGAGTGATTACATACCATCTTTGTCCTTCTTGGTCTGGATTATCTTTCTCAGGATGATTTTTTTCTATATTCCATCTTCCATCTGTCAGAATGGCTAAGATAAAAAACAGAAGTGACAGCTTATGCTGAAGAAGACATAGAGTGTGGCCTTTAATCCTATCACTTGGCAGACGGAGATTTGTCTGAATCTCTTTGAGATCAAGGTCACACTGGGAACAGAGCCAGGTGTGGTGGCACATGCCTTAAATTCCAACACTAGTTAACCATGGAGGTCTGGAGGTCTATACAGACAGACAGGAAGTGACAGAGCTGTGCAGGAAGAGGAAGTGATGTGGCTGAACAGAGAAAAGAAATTGGATGCTGGGCGGTGGTGGTGCACGCCTTTAATCCCAGCACTTGGGAGGCAGAGGCAGGCAGATCTCTGTGAGTTCGAGGCCAGCCTGGGCTACCAAGTGAGTTCCAGGAAAGGCGCAAAGCTACACAGAGAAACCCTGTCTTAAAAAACAAAAAAAAAAAAAGGAAATTGGATGGCAGAACAGCAAGGCATATAGGCCTGGGTAGACAGGAAGTCACTCACATTTGGAAGCTGCAGAGTTGGTGAGGTAAGGTTAGCTGTGGCTGTTCCTATTCCTCTGATCTCTCTCAAGTTTTCACCCCTATATCTGGCTCTGTGTTTTTTATTTAATAAGACCATTTAGAAATTCATCTACAATGGAGCAAGGAGAACATTCCTCTATTGCTGGTGGGAGTGCAAACATGTACAGCCACTTTGGAAGTCAGCGTGGCAGTTCCTCCTCAGAAAAGTGGGACTCAACTTGCCACAATACCCAGCTATACCATGCTTGGGCATATACCCAAAGAATGCTCAATCATACCACAAGGACACTGGCTCAGCTCTGTTCATAGCAGCTTTATTTCTAGTAGCCAGAACCCGGAAAGAATTTAAATGTCCCTCAACTGAGAAATGGACAAAGAAAATGTGGTATATTTACACAATCAAGTATTACTCAGCTGTTAAAAACAAGGACACCAGGAAATGTGAGAGAAAATGGATGGAACTATACTGTGCATTTTTGGTAAAGTTAATTAAAACTATTTTCACCCTAATTCTATCTTGCTGTCCTATAGCAAGGAATCAACAAAGCCTCACACATTTTTTTTCCATAAAGACTCAGTTTTTGTCTGTACATTGTCCCTTCCACACTCCAATCCCATCCTCTGGCATCGCTAGTCTCAGTAATTTCTTGAGTGGCAGATGATTCATTTTGGTTCCATGGATCCTTATGGAGTAGCTCTCACTGCATTAGAAAGACTGGAAAATCTCTAGCTGTCATACACAGGATGTCAGTCCATGTAAGAAAAGACAGGCAAGAAAGAAGAGCTAGGAATAATATACTTCAAATGTGTCATGATGACAAAAGTATGAGTTTTCAGTGAAAATCTGTCCCATTCTCTGTGAGAGAGATTTATCACTAGATAAAATAAAACAATGTCTTGAGGCCAAATCTCCTAAGGAGGGAAATATAAACTGTTTATCAATGTGCCGTCCACACTCTAGTTCTGAAATGAATAAAAGCATTCCCTGCTTCTCAATGTCTTCACCAGATCAGATGACGAGGCACTCCCAGGGATGGATCTGTAACAGAGTCCACAACCACAGCCTTGCACATGTGCACAGCATGTGTACAGCTTGTAGATGCAGGCTTTCTTTGGACTGAGTCCTGTTCTAAGAGAGAATATTTAATTTATAACCATAAGTCGTTGATGGATGGTGGTTTCTTTGGCAAGTGTTTGCGGAAAATTGTGTAATTATGTTCTTCAGCCACAAAGATTTGGAGAGTGCCACAGAGTGGAAGTTACAGATTTCTAGAAGTGTGTGTGTGTTTCTATTATCTAGAACAATTGGTTCAGAGATTCCTGCATGCAAATTGGCAACCTTAGTGACAACAATACATCCACAAGACAGCAGAACTGCTCTTCACATCCCTTTAGATTTGGAGCACAATCTTAAGGACCACATGAAAATGCCAAAAAAAAAGAAAAATGCATTTTTCTGGGGAAATTGTTCCAAAATAGTAGGATGTTTTGTTTGTTTCTCAACTGGCACAAAGCCTGGGGACTGTAAATCAGATGTGTGTGTGTATGTTTGAGTAAGCTAGGTACTCACCTCATGGATTCAAACACCTCACATATTTCAGACGTTGATGCAAATTACTAGGTGTTTTTTAAGTTTGCCACTCCAAACAGGTAGAGCAGGCTATTGAAAAATATGAAGGACTATATATTTCTCAGCCAGACAGTATCATTTACTCAGTGAAGGATTAATCTTAAAAAAAATTATCTTTTCTCCTTTAATTATCTTATCTAATACTGTAGGTATTAGCATAGTCTGAGATCTGAAATGCTGTGCAGATATAGAGAAAACATTAAAACTCCCATCCTTGGAGAAGCGGGTACGGAACACATCTGAAAACAACAGAAATAAACAGTATTTTTGTCCATTCATTTGAAGCATCTTCTAAATCCTGTAAACATGCTGTTGAAGTTTGTGTTGCCCAACTATAGCTGACTATATCAAAGGTCACTTTCATAGACTCTGAAACCTGAAGAAGCTTATGAGAGAAAACATGGATGCAGAAATGAAAGCCAATACCTAAATTCCTTTGAAGGTCTTGATAAGTATGAGACAGAAAAGAGAAAAGATAATTTTTTTAAGATTAATCCTTCACTGAGTAAATGATACTGTCTGGCTGAGAAATATATAGTCCTTCATATTTTTCAAGATGCCAGTGGTGAAGAGATCCATTAGCAAGACACACTGAGATCATGCTGTACAGAGTCCAAGGCAGTCAGACAAATATAGCCTCTCTGGTCTATCACATATCTGCTTCCATATTTCAAGAGAATATGTCTAGTTCTAAACTTGAATAATTTTGACTCTAAGAAAAGTACGAGATATGGTAAGAAATAGGAAAGTATAACCATACATAGGAACCCAAAATAATCAATAGAAAAAAACTATGAAATAACACAGAAGTTGGGAATTTCAGTCAATGAACTGTTGTCCACAGTAGTTAGAGGATAATATTCTCATAACCTGATCAACTGGTAACATTTGTTGACCCTAGACATCAAGACAAGGAAGCAAAGATGCAAACTGCCATGCCTATGAGGCAAGATGGAATTTCTTTATATCTGCAACAGACATGAAAATGATGATAGGGAGTCACAAACAAGTATGCACTAGTTAATTCTGTGTAGATGAAAGCATCATTGGAGAAAGGGAACTTAAAAATAGACTCACAGTGAGATCTGTGAAGAACTATGTGTACAGGAAATGGAATTATTTATCAAAAGTAATTTCTTTTAAAGAAAACTATAAACAGCTATGGATATTTGCAAAAGACCAAGCAAAACCAATCAAGTTACAACTCCAGCACAGACTGGGAAGGGACTGGTGAGGCCTCTAACTGAGGAGATAAAGATGGTCGATGGTGGCTGGGGAACAGAGAGGGATTTTTCATTGGGAGTTTGGCCACCGGTAGGTTTCTTATGAGCCATTGGGTGGCCCTACACATACACACCCATGCTGGAAGCACCAAATGGACACAGTGAGATGTGAAGAGGAAATAGAGGGGGAGTGGACCTGGGGTAGAGGGGAGGTGTTTGTCCAAGGTAAATGCTCTAAGAAAATCAGTCACAAACTCAAACTTTCTCAACCTGATGGAAGTTATTGATAAATAAATTATAACTAGCATCATATTTAATAGTTATTGAAAACTTTCTTCATATAATAGGGAATTCAGCATCGTATTTTCTACCTCATATTTTCTTGCTACTGTTAATCAAATTTTAACCAAAATGACAAGGCAACAAAAATGAGATAAAAAAAAAACATTTTGCAGATTTCAAAGTCCTTTAAATCTAAAAGCCCCAAGAATCAGTAAACAAGTAGAAACAATTAGTAAATTTATTAAGATCACAGGGTATCAGATCAATATTAAAAAAATTAAATGTTGAATTTACTATTTTCAAAGACATGGAAAATGGACTTCAGAAAATAAAAATATCAAGAATAAC